ATAAATAAAATTGTTTGTAAATACTATGGCAACGGTGTTTTTAAAAGATTACTAGTTTTAAGTAGTTTGTATTATGCATACTTATTTTAGTCAAGGCATATAGCATTTGTTAGCTCACTTATAGTTGGAATGTGTTTAAATCCAAATCATATACCCATGCGTGATATTTGTTTATTTACTTTGTCGATTATGTCCCTGTTTGAATCACATTAAAATTTTTATTCTCATTTTTCTATTCATTTTTAACCACACGTTCTTCAATAAAATAATATTTTTATTACATCAATTGCTTCTCTTTCTTTTTCAACCACATATTCTTCATCAATCTACTATTTCAAAATACATTTTTCGAAAATAATGTGACTCAAACACCCTCTATGAAGAATTGTTAATATAAGAGGAATGTTACATGTACAATAGTTAGATTACAACATTGGATGACAATATCTCGTAAGGGGGGGTGGTTCGCTATTATTTTAATCGCGGACCCCACTTCCCTTGTGAAAGATTGTGGATGTTGTAATCAAGTGTTGTACAATGAGACTTATTTTACTGTAAATACATTATTTGTGGGCGTATTCTGATAGATCCATAAGCTCTAAATGGAAGAGCGCTCATTGGCCTTGGTGCTTATGAGAGGATGGTGGTTCAAATCCGCCTGGATCTCTTTAATTTCACAATCTCGACTTTATTTTGCCTTACTAGAGATTTTTGCTGTTCGACATGTTCTTAATTTTTCAATTTATTTCCTTTTTTCAATTATAAGTAAAATGGAAAAAAAAATCTTAAATTTTTAATATAGTTTTTAATGAATTTTGGGGGTCAGTTGCCAACCCTCTGTACCTTTGCCCCGCTTGCTGTTGTCCTTGCTCTAACGAATCGGAGTTAAGCCATGGTGCACCTGCTTTACCATTTTCTCAAATGAATAATGTGACGAACAATGCTGGTTGTACATTCTTCCTTGATAGTGTGTTTGACATTAATTCAAAAAATTGGTTGACGTGTACGCGGGAAGTGAAAAATGAATGGAGCCAAATAACACATTATCCCTTGTACTCGGCCCATTCCATTATTCTTCATTCTTGCAGCAAAATTTCCCCAAATCTGTAGACACGCCATTTCAGTCTTCGACACCAAGCCGAATAGCCACTGGAGGACAAAATGGGAGAAGACCCGCTTCGTGTTTTCCCAAATCGACGAAGAACCACTGCGTTATTTCCCAAATCGGCGACGACCCAGGCTTGAACTTCCACTCAAATCGAGGACGCCACGCAAGTCGTGTTTTCCCACCTACCACCACGATTCAATTTTGTTGTGGAGGTCAAAATCAAAGCTCACAGCCCATAGAACAGTTGAACTACATTCGGGCGGATTTTTGTCCGGACAGAAGACTCCATTTCGCAGATGACGGAGAAAGGTAAATGCCTTTATTTTTTTAGTATTTTATCGGTTACTGCATGAATTCGGGTGTAATATAGTAGAACCGATTGAAGAGTAGTCCAAAAATATGAATGTTGACTGATTTTTCAAAATCTGAGATTAATGATGTGGTAATCTGAGATTAAGAAATGCATGAATGTGAAATTACTTATTGAAATCTGAGATGAAGAATTGCATGATGTGATAATCTGAGATTAAGAATTGCATGAATGTGGTAATCTGATATGTCGAATTAGCATGAATGATGATAGGTTCATGTTTTTCCTGAGCGTTGCTTTTTCATGTGGTCGTGGGTAAGGAAATTGTGATTGTGTTGGAGGACGATGCCATATTAGAATCAAGCACCGAGAATGTTATTGATATTATCACAACGGAAGATGTCGTACGGGGAGATGATGCCATTGAGTTGCAGCCGGGAATGAAGTTCAAGGAT